GTTTGGGGTTTGGGTTTAGGGTTTCATGGTCGGAAAACTTTGGGACTAGGGTTCAGGGCCTTTTTTGTCTTGAGCTCCTTCTTCGTGCAGAACCTCTCTCCAGATGGGGTTTATGGTTTGGGGCCTCTGAAATTGCATCCTAAACCCTATTGCATCCTGTCAACGCCGGATCAGGGTTTAGGGTTCAGGGTGTACTGTTTAAGGATATCCTTTAGGGAACCCCTGGTATTTCTGAGTAGCTGGTAATCTCGCGCAGAGGCTGTCAACCGTTGTCGTAAGCTCTGCAACCCACACCTCAAAACTCAAGAGGCCTAAAAAGCACCCTCAACCCTAAACCCCTAAACCCTAAACCCAAACCCCTAAACCCTAAACCCAAAGCAACCCACGCGGCCGTACCGGATGGTTCCTGGAGTTTCAGAGAATCCCAACAGGCTGCTGCACTGTCGGGTGGCTCCTGACTTCACATGTCTGCGATCCACGACTTATCGACTGTGACACTGCGGTGCTGTAGCACGTGGCTCGACTACTGAATTCTACTGACCAATTATAAAGTTACCCAGAGAACCCAATACACCTTAATTAAGGAATATACTTTAAATCATAATATTAAGGCTTTGAATCATAATATTAAGGCCCCTATGATTTTAGGTATATTCTTTAATTAAGGGATACTGGGTTCTCTGGGTATTGCGTTCTACAGGACTCTGCATGTCCAACTCTTCCTACACTAAACAAAAAGGAATCCCCAATCGCTTGGGCCCGCTCGGCACGCTGGACAAAAGGGCAGCACCTCGCCTTTTGGCGATCACTGCAACCCAGTGACCCCGATCCCTGCACAGAGAGCCCAATACCCCTTAAATTAGGGTTTAGGGCAGTTTAGGGTTGAGGATCATGCTATTAAGCCCCATTAATTTAGCTTTTATTCCTTAATTAAATAGGGCCCCTATATTATAGAACCCGTATAGTAGCCCTTATAGTATCCCCTTTAAAGGAACGCTAATCTAATTTTATAGTAAGGCCCTTACATTAAGGCCTGTTCTTCTTATAAGGAGCTTATCAGAGACTCCAATTGACTCCAACGCATGGGGTCGGGTTTATGATTTATGGTCTAGGGGTTAGGGGTTTAGGGGTTTTGGGGTTTAGGGGTTTAGGGGTTTAGGGTTTAGGATTTAGGGTTTAGGGGTTTAGGGTTGGCTTTGCAAGGGCCTCTAACAAACTTCCATATCCCTTGAGCCTCTAACAAACTTCAGTACCCCTACGGCCAGGGTTCTGCGGGCTTATGCTGGACCCATTTTCGGTCATCCTTGTGCAACTCGGAGCCCTAACCCCGAAAGCCCTAAGACTAAGCCCCCAACTGCTTCTACCAGGGCATCGAAAACCAGCATTCTTGAGGTTGCAACTCTATCTAGGCTGATGCCTTTTTCAGCTTCCCTGCTTTCCTTAGGGGTCTGAACCATAGCGCCGGTTCCAAAACACATGTGCAGATAGACTTGCCTGGAAGACTAGACCAAAAATCATGATGAGACGGCACAAGAGCCTGTCCACAGAGACTGCCACCAAACCCCTCATTAAGCAGCCTACTTTAAATTCTAGGCGGGTTCTTAGTATCGCCAGAAGTATTTCCTCCCTAAACCTTAAACCCTAAACCTTATATAACCAGAAGTATTTCTTTAATCTATCCCTAAACCCTAAACCCTAATCTACGAGTGTTGGAGTCTGGGTTCTGAAAGCGGCAAGACACGTCACACTTTGAACGCGACCACATTCCTGGCCGTCGCTAAGCTCTCGTTGAGGACCCACTTCAGAAGACTTGCTATTGGGCTGTTGCGGTGGTTTAGACCTTTTGCCGGCTTCTATATGGGAGTTTCCGAAAATTAGGGTACCTTATTTTGGGGTCCTTATATTAAGGATCCTATTATTTAGGCTACTATATTAGGGTCCCCTATTTTCGGAAACTCTAAACCCTAAACCCTCAACCCTAAATGTATACCCCAAGCCCCCATTCTAAGTGCTCGGCCGGGTCCCAAAATCTTACAGGCTGTTGTAAACCCGCCGTCAACCCTTATATGGTTTAGGGTTTAGGGTTTAGGGTTTAGCATAAGTTTACAGGGATTGTAAGGGGATCGCTTGCTAATAAACGCTGTAGAACCTATATGACGGTGAAGAGTCAGACTTAGGATTCATCTTGTCCCCTGACTAATAAATCCTGTCATACTGTTGATGGACAAAATCCTGCATGACCTTCAGGACCTTAAACTATGGGAATTATGGTATATTCCTTATAATGGGTAATGCAGGATTTTGTCCATCAACAGTATCCTGTAATTAAAGGCCGATAGCCGATAACCATTAAAATCCATGTTGAGGGGAGTGTGTGCGTATAGTTCATTTGGGGTCTACATGAGGGCATTCGCAGTTTGTGTTGTGTGGGCAGGA